CCCCCTGACCTGGCCCCGCGCCGGCCGCAGCCGCAGCTCCAGCTCCGCCTCCCCGCGCTCCCCGACCAGCCACAGCTGCACGCGGTTCAGCGACCCCGAGAAGAGCCAGGCGCCGGTGGCCACCCGGACGCGGTAGCGGCCCATGGCGGCAGGTGGGCGCCGAGGCGAGCGGGAGCCGGGCCTGCGACTCTCGGCTCCCCAGGGCCGCCGGCGTGAGTTCGGCACCTCAGGGCCAGTTCGGGCCTTTAAGAGGTGGCTGGGTCCCCGCCCTCCTCACAACTTTCAGGGTTCCCAGGTCTCCGCCCCAGACGAGGCCCAACCGGCGCTCAGCCAGGGCAACATAAATCTGCTTTCCTGAGCCAAACCCTCAAAAATGACTTGGCGCCCAGCTGGCGTGGGTCAGAGGATGAGCATCGACCTATGATCCAGGACGTTGCGGTTGGATTGCGGGGATGGAGGTGGGGTGGGGAGGTGGGAGAAGACATTTAAAGACATTTATCTTTGTCTGGCCGGGCGTGGCTTAGCAGCTGAGCATTGGCCTAGGATCCAGGAGACCGAAGTTTCATTCCTGGGNAAAAATGACTTGGCGCCCAGCTGGCGTGGGTCAGAGGATGAGCATCGACCTATGATCCAGGACGTTGCGGTTGGATTGCGGTCAGGACACATGCCCGGGTTGCGGGCTCGATCTCCAGTAGGGGCCGTGCAGGAGGCAGCTGATCAGTGACTCTCATCATTGGTGTTTCCCTCTCTCTCTCCCACTCTCTGAAATCAATAAACACACACACACACACACACACACACACACACACACACACACACACACACATATAATTTCGAAAAGATTTCCATATTGGTTACTGGTGAGGGTAGATGGGACTCTAGCCCTGCCTTCCAGCCTCCAGACCTCACCCCAGTGTCTGATCCTTCCTGGGTGCCCTTCCCCTTCTTATCTTGCCTGTGTCCTCTGTGCTCAGGGCCGCTGTCTGCCACAGGCTGGCCCCCAATTTCCTCCAGTTTTGGATATTACAAAAAACTGTAAGAGCCAAACAGAATGGCCCACATTCCCGCCCTATGTGGTAACTGAACCTGGCCTTTCCACGTCCACCCAATAGGGGTCCCTTTGGCCTAGAAGAGAGAGTTTGCTTCCTCCCTACCTCCAGAATCAGTCCCTACATCAGCCTGCTTCTCTGCGGTGATTCCTTTCTCCCCTCTCTAGTGGACTCTGAGGGCTCAGGGCAGTGGGGGGTGGGGGTGAGCACCTAAGAACAGTAGCCTGAGCTACTGCATGAGCTACCTGAGCTAATGTTTAAATCACTGAGAACAGTGCCTGGCACAGAGTCCCTGTATGTATGAGCTGCTATTACTCTATTATTCACAGAGTGGAAACAATTCCCAGCTGAATGTCAGCATCACTTCCACAAATGCCTCTGCCTTTCCCCACCACATTCTCTTTTCCCCATGTCCCTCCACAGGCCCCAGCCTCCCACGAGGGGTCTTACTCCCCCAGCCCCTTCCTCTCCCTTCTTTTTCTCTTTTTCCTTTTTGGGCACATGCATTATATTGGGGGCAAATAATTCAAAACAAAATTTCTCCACCCAGAAAAACCACTCCANCAAAAATGTCTCCATGAAGGTAGGAAAGAAAGAGATCGGAATTTTTACTGAAGAAGCATTAACCAGTGTGATGTGCATTACTATGAGACTAAAGACAGAAACCTCACCCTTTTATGTAGCCAAGCAGATCCAACCCATTACACACACGTTCTCAAGGTAAACCCTAACTGGTTCTCGAGTAAGGGGCTTGATGGCACCATTTGTCATGCATAGTTCATTCTAACCTTACGTGGTAATTGGTGAACGTCTGTGTTATTATTATTATTTTTTAAATGTATCTTTATTGACTTCAGAGAGAGGAAAGGAGATGGAGAGAGAGGTATAGAAACATCAATGATGAGAGAGTCATTGATCGGCTGCAGCCCACAACCCAGGCAAGTGCCCTGACTGGGAATCGAACCCGGATCGCCTGGATCCTAGGTCAACGCTCAACCGCTGAGCCATGCCCGGCCAGGCCATCTGTGTTATTAATGGGCTTAATCACAGGGAAAACAAAGTTTTTATATCTTTACCACAAGGTGTATTTTTGCAACTTTGAGCNTACCACAAGGAGTAGTTTTGCAACTTGGAGCAAGGAGCCCACCTCAGTTAGACTCCCACCCTCTCACAGAAACTGGGAGACAGGGCTGCTGTCTTCCTTGATTTCAAAGAGATGGCTCCCAGGCCCTTGGGAAAGATGTTCCTGGGTCACAAAGCTGGTAAGAAGCTTATTTAGCTTCTAAAAAGAGCTACAAACATGNCTTGGGAAAGATGTTCCTGGGTCACAAAGCTCCTAAGAAGCTTATTTAGCCTCTGAAAAGAGCTACACACATATTAAAGAGACAGAAAGAACTTCCAACTACCAGTTTTCTAAAGTGAATGCTCTAAGAAAAGGGAGGGTGGGGAGAAATCTATTTTCAATAGGGAGAATCAAGCCCCTTATTTAAATGTTTTATTTGTCCCTGCACTTACCGTTTGTTCCTTATGCACGCCACAGGATGGGCCAAGGGCTTGCTTTTGCCTGGGCCTCTTGCAGGAGGGAAACCCACGTTTGCCACACGTGCGTGCCCAAGCTAAACTCTCCTCCCGACTCCCAGGGCCCTGGTTTCTGTGCCAGTAACTGACTCCCACCTTCTCATTACTTCTTTTTGCAGAACAATTTAGCTTCTTGATCAAGGTTTCTCTCACTGTTATTCCCCAGAGGGCATGGGTGAGGGGATGGACCTTACATTTCATAGACAAAGAAGACTGCTAAAGTGTTTTTCTAAACATGNAAGGAACAAAAGCGGGCAGAGTCCTGTCCATTTGCTGCCCGGCGCCCTGTTTCCTCACCTTTGCTGCCCCAAACCTAGCTGGTGTGCCCAGGTCAAGGCCAAAGAGTCTTCTCAAGTTTCTATGGATTCATAGAATCATCTTGAATCATGGATACAGTTCTAGGAGTTGTTGGTTTTGGTTGTTTAAACAAAACCTGAGCTGCACTGTATACACTTTCCAGAAGCTTGCTTGTCTCACCTAGAGGTCGATCTCCCGGACCCTCTGCAGCTCAGTAGGTACACATCTGGCCCGTTGTTTTCCGCAGCTGCACGGTGCTCCACGGTGCACTGAGCCACTCCTCTGCTGATGAGCATTCAGTGGTTTCCACTTTTACGACATGATGAGCGCTACAAAGGGCATGTTTGCACTTATATCCTTATGTGCTTGATGGCTTTACTTCTCTGGGTGAGAGTCCAAGAAAAGGGTGCAAAGGATAAAAGACTACCAGAATTAAAAATACCAAAAACCCAGGAACAAAATAAAACAAGCAAATGAAAGAGGAACAATCGACACAGCTAACTGTCCTTACTTGTCAGACAGAGGAACACAGCCTGCAGCAGACTGACTGAGTTGTCAGGAGGAGGGATAAGCCAAGGATTTGTTTCTAACCCTCCCCTGAGGATGTTTTTTCCATTGCTTTTCAGAGAGGGTGGAAGGGAGAGAGAGAGAGAAA